GGGAAGCCAGCCGCGGGGACAGCCCCCCCTCGGAGGAGCAGGCAGTGGTGGGATGGAAGGCTTCGCTGCCGTCCCATTGCTCCGCTTGCAGATGTAGGGCAGCGCTGTCATGCACTTCTGGTCCCCCCAGTCCTCTGTGGGAACGGACCAGCCAGGCATGACCCCTCATTGCACTGGGGTAGAGGTGGCTCTGCTCAGCCCCAGCCCCTCCAGAGCCAGATCCTGCCCCTCACCTCTGCTCGCCGTCATGTACACACACTTCTTGTCCTTGTTGATGGGCCGGGGCTTGCCCGGTGCCCAGGAGACAAAGTTGAGTAGGGACCCGTCGGACCACCTGGGGAAGGCACCAGCAGGAGCACAAAGCCAAGCAGTGACTTGGTGAGTGGGACCAGCTGCACACCCTAACTGGGAGCTACCACACCACTGCCCTCTCTTGGGTGAGGAACCTCCATCCCAGCACCCCGGGACGAGACCCTCGAGGTGCAGGCACTGAGCTGCAGCGCTCTAGGAGCTGGGGACAGCGGGATGGGGACGTGCAGGGATGCAGTGCCTCTACCTCTGACTTACTTGAACCTCCCGTCGTTCTCATAGGTGTGCAGCCCGATCCACCAGTGCTGCTCCTGGCCCCTGGAGAACTGCATCCCGGAGAGGACACGTCAGTGCCTTGCAGGGACTGGGAGTCCTTGGGGACAACTGCAGCCACTTCACAAGCCTCATCGTGACCCCAGCAGAGCCCGGCTGTCCCCAGGTAATGTCCCTCCATAAGCCGGGGAGGGAGTGGAGCCCAACAGTGACATCCCCATCCCCTGGTACCTTCTTGAGGTTCTGGCCCAGGAAGCGCAGCTCGGCCTCGCTGTGCACCGATGCCAGCTCTGCCTGGAACCAGCTGCAGATGCGCTGTGCCTGCACCCACGTCGAGTGGTGCTCAAAGAACTTGTACTCAGCCTCCTGGTACTTCACCCACTCTTTGCTGCCTGCAGGCAGGGACCAGTGTCATGCCGTGGCCGTGCCACCCCTTGCCACAGCCACCAGCACCCTCTGCCCTGTCCCTCAGCCCCTGCTTTGCTTTTGCCCCGCTGCTGCAGCCGAGGAGCCTGATCCTGCCTGGTTGTGCAGCAAGGGGCAGGATGCTGGGGCTCTCCTCCCTTCTATGACCCTACACAGGATCCATCCTCCTGTGGACACACTGCAGGGATGTCCCACAAGGACTGTGAACTGCTCACACATGTGATGGGTGGCAGATGCCCAGGGAGGATGGTCTATGCTAGATGGACACAAGCCCGTGACCAACGCACCTTGGGTTGTGATCTCTGGCTCCTTCACGTCGGCACCTGGTGAAAGGGCAAGGGGAAGCTGTCAGGGGGTGCAGGTCTGGCGGCTCCTGCTGATGCTTTGCAAATCACCTGCAGGCTCCAAGTGTGAGGTGCCCTCCCAAATGCCCCTGGGATAGAGAGTGCCTCTCCCAGTCCCTTGATTAGGACTCATCATAGAATCATACAATAGAATCCTAGAAGGGTTTGGGTTGAAGGGACCTTAAAGCTCCTCCAGCTCCACCCCCTGCCCCGGGCAGGGACCCCTTCCACTAGAGCAGGTTGCTCCAAGCCCCTGTGTCCAACCTGCCCTTGAACACTGCCAGGGATGGGGCAGCCACAGCTTCTCTGGGCACCCTGTGCCAGCACCTCAGCACCCTCCCAGGGAAGAGCTTCTGCCTCAGAGCTCATCTCAGTCTCCCCTCTGGCAGGTTCAAGCCATTCCCCTTGTCCTGTCCCTCCCTCCCTTGTCCAAAGACCCTCTCCAAGTTTCTTGGAGCCCCTTTAGGCACTGGAGCTGCTCTGAGGTCTCCCCTTCAGGAGCCTTCTCTTCTCCCTTAATAGTGCAACCTTTGGAAGGGAGGTGACAGAGGGTCCCCCCCACTCGCTGCACCATCCCGCAGTCCATCACCTGCCAGGTTATTCAGAGCTGAAGGGTCTGGGGGTCTCCTGACCGGTACCTTTGGGCAGTTTGCAGATCCAGTCCAGCTGGGCTTCGCACTGCATCGGCATCCACTGCAGGGAGGCCAGGTCCAGCACCGCGCAGCTCCGGATGTCATCGTCATCGTAGTTACTGCGGTCAAAGTTGTGGTAGAAAAACTGGGGGTCGAGAGAGACGGGCGGTGTTGGGCATTTCCACCAGGACCCCACTTGCCCCCCACTGCTGCCCAAATGCCATCCATCCTGTGGCACCCCCAGACTCACCCCCAGCCCGTCCCCGTCGCTCCACCTCCAGCTCCTGTCCCCCGCGGGGTCCCGCCGGTTCAGGCCGATCCAGAACCAGTGCTGCTCATGGAGCTCCGGCTCCGACTCCCTGCAGGGAGCCAGGGGGAAGGGTGAGAACAACCCCCCCAAAGAGGAGGGGTTCATATTGATATACCAATACCTATTCATAATCTGGCCTTTTCTGTTTGCTCTCAAAGCCCGCTGTCCCCACAGCACCCAAAGCAGCAGCTCGGGTAACGGGCTGAAGGAGTTTCAAACCCAAGCTCCATCCCCAAATGACACCAGATTTCCTGCACTTCTCCCACACCCCTCCTTTGGTGCAGCCAAACTGATGCACCTTCAAGCTCATGCTCAGAGAGCCACATCCATGCTCCATCCACGCGTGCCAGAGCACACTCGGGCAGCAGGACACGTGCCAAAAACCTCACCCAAAGATCTTGTTGAGGGTGTTGGCGATGAAGTGCTCCTCCTCGTAGCTGCCCAGGCTGAGCAGCTGGGCCCCCAGCTCCCGGCAGAACTCCTGCGCCGCGATCCATGTCTTCTTCTCCTGCAGCTTCTCATAGTTGAACACCTAGAGGAGGAACCGGCAGTGGATGGAACTCAGCACTGGAGGAGGAACAAAGCATCATTCTGTCGCCACCCTGCCACCACTCGGCCCAAACCAGGCTAACGGGGTCCAGGCTGCCCTTTGCAAGCACTGAACATGGCCCTTCACCAGTGGGGAAAGCACATGCACACCCACAATGAGCAGGGCACCAGCACCTTAGAATCATAGAATGGTTTGGGTTGGAAAGGTCCCTAAGATCATCCAGTTCCAACCCTCCTGCCATGGAACAGGGACACCTCACACTAAACCATGTCGCCCAAGGCTCTATATATCTAACCTGAATTTACCTTGTAGCAGTGCCGGAGCTTGGAGTCGGAGCCCCATCCCGGAGGGCAGGCAGCGGTGAGGCTGGGCGTGGGGTATGGGCCGGGCAGCTCAGGGTTCACCGGGGTGCCCAGGTTCTGCCGGCAGATGTACTTGGCCTTGAAGGTGCTGCAGTTCTTCACCTCCCACAGCCCCATGGAGCTGCCGGTGGCCAGGGCCACGCAGCCACCCTTGTTGTAACCTGGAGCGCTCACGGGAGCGGGGAGGATGCCTGCCTTAGGGTCGGACCGTGCGAGGTGGCAGAGCCAGCCCCAGCCCTGCACGGAGGGGATGTGCCCATCCCACCGTGGCCACCCCCTTACCGGGCTGGTCGCGGTTCCAGTGGGTGTACATGACCTCGTCGCCGCTCAGCCAGCGGAAAGCACCCGTCTCGTTGATGTCCTGCAGCGCTGTCCAGAAGTACTCCCCATCCCAGCCATAGATGAGGCTGCTG